TTCTCATATAGTTTTTCCACTGCTGTTATGAGATTTGAGTTGATGTTCGTTTGTCTGAGAGTGTTCCATAACTTATTTTGAGGGATGCTATCGTAGGCCTTTTTTAGATCAACAAACAAAAAGTGGACTTCTTGATCTACAGCAACCTTTTTTTCTATAAGTTGGGTGATACAAAAAAGGTGGTCTATGGTCGATCTACCAGCTCTAAAACCCGCCTGTTCTTCTGCCTCCATATCAGTGTATTCTCTTTCTATTCTATTTTTGATCATTTTCCCATAGATTTTACTAATGGTACTAGTAACTGCTATTCCACGGTAATTGTCGCAATTTTGTTTGTTTCCCTTTTTATGTACAGTTGAAATGGTTGAGGTTTTAAATTCGGCTGGAACCTCTACTTTGTTTATGCAGTTTTGAAAGAGTATTGTCAAATGCTCATATAGTTTTTCAGTTCCATATTTTATCAGTTCTGAGGGTATATTGCCAGGTCCGGGCGCTTTTTTGTTTTTGAGTGAAATACAGATATCCCTTACTTCCTTTTTCGTGATTCTTATAGGAGATGCTTCAACGCGTATGTTTTGGTTACTTTCTTTTATTTTGAATTCCATTCGGTCTTCTTGTAACAGTTTACTGAAGTACATGTCCCATGTTTCTAACGAAATTGGTGAGATTAAATCTTTTTTCTTGTCGTTGGTCCTAAGAGATTTAATAAGTTTCCAGCTTTCTGTACTTCTAGTTCCTCCTATGTACGTATTTAATTTTTGACAGTTTTGATCCCAGGATTCATTTTTTTTCTGTCTTATCATTTGTCTCACCTTAGCTTGATGGTTTTTGTAATCAGACCAATTTGTATCTGTTTTTGCACTTAAATATTGTTCATACTTTTGTTTCTTTTGTTTTATCGCTGTGTCTATTTCTTCATCCCACCAGTATGGAGTATTTTTGTTTTTCTTTTCGTAATATCCAAGCGCTTCTTTTGCTGCAGAGTGAATACTTTCTTTAATGTAATTGTAGTGGTCTTCGATGTTATTGAAATTTATGTTTTCAAGTTTCTCGTTCAGTCTGTTTTGATACAATATTTTTACACTATCTTGATCTAGGCTGATAAGATTATATCTTACATCTTCTGCCATCTCTGAGCGAACTACTGGTTGTTCATTCTGGCTTCTTCTTGAAAACATTATTTTTGCTTTTAAGAAATGGTGATCGCTTCCACAAACTGCGCCTCTATAAGCTCTTACGTCGTAGATTTTAAGATTTGATCTTTGGCGTACAATCAAGTAATCTATTATAGATTTTAGATTCCTTGTTCTCTGTCCCCAGGTGTATTTGTGTACTTCTCGATGCTGATAGAATCCATTTGTAATACGGAGCTGGTTCTGTTCGCATATTGTGATAAGTCTGGTCCCATTGTCATTTGTTATGCTTTCTCCGTAAGGACCAACTATTTTATAGTTTTGTTTTTTCCGACCCTGCCATTAAAATCTCCAAGCAGGATTAATTCCCTCGTATTTCCTATCGATGTTATTTCTCGGTTTAGTTTCTCGTAGAATTCTTCTTTCTTGTTAACGAGTGCATCATCGTTAACTGCATATACACCTATTATTGTTAGTTTATGACCATGTATATTGAGGTTTATTTTAATTAGTCTTTCATCTATGGCTTCCCAAGTGGTGATATATCTTCTTAGGCTTTTACGAATAATTATTGAGACTCCTTGTTGTGCTCTTTTTTCTTTTGATATGCCGCTATAGAAATGGTCGAAATGCCCTAAGTTTTCTGACCCTGTACCTTTTTTCTTGGTTTCTGTTAACACCACGATGTCCATATTGAGCTTCTTTATTTCATGCATTACTTCATTGAGTTTTGTAGAGAGACCCTGTACATTCCATGTTCCTATATTCTTGATCCATTTTCATAGCTTAAGTCGTCGTGTTTTATTCCATCCGTTCCGAGGCTGTAGATTTGGCTTTTTAACATTTGTACATTTTTCTGAGTATTGAGGAGTTAGCCCAATGCCTCAACCCCCAACCTGGAGGACCGGGTGATTTGTCGTCAAGGTTTTCTTCCTCTAGCCTTTGATGGTTCAGCATCTAACTACAAGGCAGCAGCTTCGCCTGTACCCTAGGCAGGTGCCCTTACAGGGTGCTATCATCCGGGCCAGATGAACCCTGGTTTTTTTACGAGGTTGTTACTCCTCCCCCTTCCTCCTTTATCCGGGCTTGGGACCGGCAACATGGCAGCTAAACTACTCAATTCGCGCAGCCGTCATGCAGGCGGAGTGATGACCTATGGTACCTAAACTTTGACATTGACAGCTACAAGTTCGTAACCGAGTTAGAAATGAAGACGTAAGACGAAGAACAGGAGTTACCGATGTCATTTCCCGAATTTCCACACTGAAATGGAACTGGGCCGGACACGTCACCCCCCGAATCAGTGATAAAAGGTAGACGAAGAGATTGCTTGAGTGGAGACCGAGGTTAGACAATAGAAGTAGAGGAAGACCCCCTACTCGTTTAGTAACGATCTCAAGAAAATATCAAGAAATTGGAAATCAAGAAAGTGCTCAAGTTAGAGCACAATGGACAAAAATGAGGGAGGCCTATGTCTAGCAGTAAACGCAAAGGGCTGGATGATGATGATGATTATGGGAGTCTCGCATAATATAATTCAGCTAAAAGAATATTTTCACGATGGAAACTAGACTTTGCTTAGAGGTTGGTTACATTATTTCGTTCTTGGATCAATATAACCTAAGTTGTCATCACGTCAGCAAGAATAATCGTATTCCCAGTTTTTGCATCGTATGTTCTGAAGGTCGGCTTTCAATTCGTCCTCAAGCAGGTACTAGCAGATAATCCTACCCTTAATTAACATAATTACGGTACTTTAATGATACCACTCAACTGGTTTCCCATGAGGGGATTATAATTTCTGGGCAGATAATCCTACCCTTAATTAACATAATTACGGTACTTTAATGATACCACTCAACTGGTTTCCCATGAGGGGATTATAATTTCTGGGAAAAACCAACTTAAGTTTAAGAAAGCTTAATAATAAGCGTAATAACTGCAATAATTTGTGAAGGTGAATGATGGGAGTTGGCACACAAGTAACGGTTGAGATGGGTCTGTTTTCGATAAACAGAGTAATGGAAACCTTGGGAGTGGTTTTTCTTTATGATAATATCGAGAAACGGTAGGGACGAATCAGTTTTCACCTCCTTTGAACTGGATCTCCAGTGGAACAGATCTCCGGTGAACTGGATACTATAATGTATACCACTCAGATGGGTTTGAAAAGACACCGAAGCATCCCTGCCACGGAGCCAAATGACGAATGTATGGTCAATATATCGTAGTTAACATGTGGGTTTGAGCATTGATGTGGATAGTGGTCAAGTTTCGAAGTCTTCTATAAAGATATTGGCAATTACTGGAGATAGTAGGGTGTCCATTGAGGCACCATTTATTTGTGTGTAGAATTGATTTTGGAAGAAGAAATAAGTGTTGGACATCCAATGTTTAATGAGAGGTAAGTGAGCAAGACCACTCACCTCGTGAATTTCGTAAACTCCGTATTGTTCATTTGGATGTTGTCTTTGATTGATTGGACAAGAGATAAAAGATTTTGTTGGGGGGTAAAAATTGTCTTTATCCTTCTTGATCTAAGAATTTTGTCAATTTTGTCAGTGACACTTTGGAAGATAAAATAAGTGTTGGACATGCAATGTTTATTGAGAGATAAGTAATCTTGCGGGATACTGTATTTAGTTTTCAGAATATTTAGAGTTTCGACGACAGAAATGTTTGTAAAGAGTGAAACGATATCGAAACTTACTAGAATGTCTCATGCTAGATTAGCTCTCAGAAGTCTAAAATCATGAAATTTACCAGAACGAAAAATACACGAGAGAGTGGGTCTTCTTAGACTAAATGGTACACTAAATCTAAATCTAAATCTGGTGAGTAAATAAAATATTTTGAGATAATATTTAACTCAAGGCTGACTTGTAATCATTAGTTAAAAATTCTTCTTCTTGTTCTTCGTGCGACTAAGATTACTCCTGTTTCTCTGCCTCCTATTCTGTTTCAGTCTTTGGTGACTGTACATTATCTGTCCACCTTTTTGCCGGCCTTTCAACGGGTCTTCCGATATAAGGTTTGTTGTTTTTACAGATGTTTGCTAATCTATCTCGTCCCATTCGGTTTACATGTTTGTTCCAGTTTTTTTTTTGTTTTTATCCACCTGTTAATATTTTGAATTTTGCATTGTTTGCGTATACTTCTAGTGGTTTGTCTGCCTCTTAATGATATGCCCGCTATTGATCTTAATACTTTCATTTCGATATTGTTGATTTGTTGTTTCCTCTTTCTTGTATCGGTCCTTGTCTCCGCTGCATATGTTAGGATTGGTGTTGCTGTTATCTTGTATATTTTCATTTTGCTTTCTGTGGTCAGATATTTGTTTCTCCATATGGTTTCTCTGAGGCAACTACTTGCCGCTTTTGATGCTTGACTTGTGGTCTCTGTTCAGCAGTTAAAACAAATAACCAAAACAGTGGTAACTACGTTAATGGTGGGAAGACCAACAATTACGTATGCATCAATGATATGGTGCCCAAAGATGCAGCATGAAAATGCTATTCTCAAACTAATCAAGATACAAGCAAATACTTGCTTGCCTTTTAATCACAGAGTGGCACACAAACGGTAGTTATGGAGGGCCTATTGGACATTCCTTCATCATAAATAGTTATAAGGGGAAGGCGAGAATTGGATATTATCACCATTTTTGTCGAAAAATTGAAAATGGTGGAGATATTGAGAAAAACGGTTCTCTATTTTCATTTTCAAATTTAAGATGGGTTGATTTAGTCGTGATTTTAAATATACATTTCTAAGGTTGGACTTTTTTCGTCTAACCCAACTGGACTATATTATTTAAATATATTAAATTAAATTAAATAAATACATTAATTTTGTTTTTTTTTTCAGGAATTTGCGCAGAACGCAATGAATGAGTTACTTGGTTGGTATGGATACGACAATCCTCGAGATGATTTGAAGATACAAAAAAACTGCAGAACATCACATTCCGGAAGTAGTAGTTCGGGAATATCCCCAAAACCATCAGGTAAATTATATTGTAGATTTTGTTTATCTAAACAGATTTATTTATGTTACAAAATATTTTCCTTCAACTAAAAAGAAGTTTTTACTAGCTGGTTTTTACTGAATGTTGCTGTTGAAAATTATACGTCGTATAGCCATGTAGTTTTTTGAGTTATTATTTTAATTTTTCCTTAAAATATTCTAAACATTAAATCACGAACTATAAATCCGAATATTTCTAATTGACCAAACCAAAATCCAAATGTTTGCTTTACTCCGTGCCTTATAAGAATTGCAAGGCAAACAGACGTTGATAAAGGTGTAATTAGAGACATGGGGAATCTAAAATTGCATTCCACAACATATCTCCTCAACTAAGCAAAAATCCTTGGCGAATTGGTTTTTCGTAATTCCTTTTCGACAGGAAAAACTGTTTTCACGTTCAGAGCTTCTGTGAATAGTTGCTCCGAAGATTCCTTTTAGGATGAAATACGTATAAGCGAATATACAGAGGCACTCTGAACGTGAAATCAAATCTTAACTTTCTTTCCTTTTTATTCTCAACATGTTTAGGATTATCTGAACATTCATTTGTATGCTAATTTTTTTTAATTGCATGCTTTTTAATGCTTTTCATCTTTTCCGTCTTCTGTAACCGTAAGCTATGCTGCATGTGTTTATGTTGGTCAGAAGATGCACAGATATCCTTCTTTCTCTTTTTTTCTGTTGTACCTTACCATAGCGCCCAACTCCCCCTTACTTTCCCGATTGACTGCCAGAATATGCAGTCCCTCTCTTGTTAGTCAACAGCTTTGGGTAGACAAACTGAGAAGACAATAACGACACTCCCTTGTCTCTGGTATAAGAAATTGTCCCAAAAGGCGAATGAATCGATAAACGGCCAACGGCATGAAGATAAGGGATAACGATAATAGGAGGCAACGGAAAAATTATTTAAATTAAATAATTAATATACTCCATTCCCACGAATATACGACTGTTTTAAATTCGCTTTAAGGTGTCGATTTAAATGGTCCAATGTACTGAATTGTACAATAGTAAATTCTCCCCATTTTTAAAATACTGTTACGACATATATAAACCTTAGATTTAAATATGAAGTAATGATATAAATATAAAGTTAATAGTTTATAAAACAGTTGTAATTCAGATTTTGAAGTATATAATTACTATCATGGAGTTTATTTTTTCATTTCAATTATTTCATTGTAAACAAGTTGGTTTTCGAATTATGTGATTTAAACGAAATGTAACAATAACTAAGTGATCAAATAGTGTAAATTTTTTTAGTCGAATATTCAATTAATATTAAAAAAACAAAAAAACTTACTTATTCACTTATTCTCTTAATCTTCTAAAACTATCATCAACGATCAGATTCACAGCCATAATCAGTCGGCGATATATGAAACTGTATATAAATATTCGTTACTTTTTAATATCTGTAACGACTCGGTACTTTACCTATCAATACCGGTATGTTATACCCGTTACTTTCGGAACTTTTAAGAGTACATAATCTTTATTTATACGTCCATGACATAAACTCAAAGCATTAACTCAAACAAATATTAAAACTAACAAAGTGAAATATTAGATTCTTTTTCTGGTTTGTGAACCATCGTTCTGCCAATTTCTTTTCATTTTTTATTACAGTTGTAATACCTAATAAAGTAATAAAAAGTTATATCAAAGAAACCCGGCACGCCTCTTTGGTGTTTACATTTCACGGAAAGCTTACCCAAATGTCTGATGAACGCATTTGGCTTCATAGACGTCATTGTATTTATTTGTAGATTTTAACTGAAATAATTTTAGTTTAGATGTCATACTAGTAGACCCTTTTTATTGAAATAATGATTAGACCAATTGACCTTCATACTTCTACTTGCACAGTAAAATATTCGTTATCGCAGTAAACCAAAACAGTCGTATATTCGTGGAATAGCCTATATTAAAGATCTTTAAGGATATTCCGAGAACAATCGTCACGCAAAGCAATAGCGACGAAATATCAGTTACTCATCATGGATACGGAATCCAAGATCTGGCAGAGGAAGATCATAGGGCTTCCCCGGTCGCCAACAATAGAAATCTTTATAATAATTCACTTAAGTTAAATAAACATAACAGAATTAAAACATGCACGTGGATTGGTAAAACGGTATAAGAGGCAGAAAAGCTTAGAAACCTCTTACTTGAAATGCACTCGATATCTCTATATAAGCAGTCGGCAAAACAAGGTGGCCAAACAATGGATAGTACAATTCTCAAAACTATATCAGATATAATACTCTGGAACAAACGATGAGTCACATCAAAACGGCGTAGCGATCATACTAAAGAAATAGCTTGTAAAGCCTGTAAGAAAATATGCCTCATTATCAGATCGAGTAATGCTAATTTAATTAGTTGAATTCCCAGTAGATATAAATATAATACAAGTATACTTACTCACTGCAGTCAAAGAAAAACCAAGATTGAAACATTTTACCTACCAACTTTTATCAGAAGCTTTAGCTATGACAAAAAAACACGAGCTTACTCTTATTATGGGGGACTTCTATGCAAATGTGGGATCAGAAAACACTCTTAATATTATTAGAAAGTTTGGTGCCCATCAGTTAAAAGTTACTCTGGTGCTGACATATCGTCAAATCATATTACTTTTATTGGTAAATTTAGGTTTAGATTTAAAAAGGTTACAAAAAAGAATGGTAACAAAAAAAGTGATATAAGAAGACTAAAAGATAAGGAAGCAAAAGAGATAGTCGTACGGATTCTTTCAGAAAAGCTAAGTAACATGGAGCAAACATATGATCCAGAAGAATCACTCCAGAATATATGTGAAACCTTTAACAAGATCAGAAAAGAACATCTAATAGACAATAAAAAAAGTGGAAAAGTTGGATAAATGCCAATGCACTACAACTCATGGAAAAAAGAAGAAAATTAAAGAATAACAAAAGAATGTACAGAAATATTCAGAGACAAACAAGACAAAAAATACGAAAGGCCAAAGATAATTGATTAAAAACACAGTTGGTTAAAACTCACAGCTAGCAAACTGCAAAATCAACAGGGGAACTTTATCACAGATAAAAATCAAGAAATATGCACATGGATCAAATACATACAAGAACTCTTTGATGATAATAGGTCCGAACAACCTCCATCCTACATATGTAATAACCACTTGTAGGACCACATGTAGGATAGAAAAAGCAAGATCTGCATTTCAAAAAATGGCTAAGCTATGCAAATGCCATGATTTATTAGTACCCATAAAAATCTGGTTACTACGATGTTATATCTTTTCTATACGGTTGTACGGAGTTGAGTTGTGGACTCTTACAGACGCTACCTGCAAGAAAATTGAAGCTTTCGAAATGTAGCTTTATCGTCGAATCCTGAAGCGAAAAATATGGGATCCTGCAATTAATTCCGGAAAAGTAGCAGGAAAGCGTGGACAAGGAAGTCGAAGGATTTCCTTGCTGAAAAATTTACGTACGTGGTTCGACACAACAACCACAAATCTTTTCAGAGCAGCAGTTTGCAAAATACAGATTACTATAATGGTCGCCAACATCCGAAACGGATAGGCAGTATAAGAAGAAGAACTTCTGAAGAAAGTTACCATAAGAAAAACATCATACCTGCAGCACATACTTCGAAATGATAAATACTCTCTCCTACGACTAACCATGGAAGGAAGAATATAAGGAAGAAAGGCTTAGTAATATCAGAGATTGGACGAACCTCAGTGTAGAACAGATATTTGACGTTGCAAAAAATAGGGAAGTTAAAAGACGGTACGAGAAGAAGAATTTGTACTAATTTTTCATCTATAATAATCTTTAAAATTTTATTTTTAACCTTTTAATCCCTAGTATATCTAAAAAGACAAGACATCTCTTTCTTTTATAAGACATTTTAGCCTTAAATTCGATAATTTTTTTACGTTAGTAAACCTTTTCTTAAAAGTTAGTAGTATTTGACCTGAAAAAATGTAATGGTGTACTCCCTCTTTTAGACACCCTAGTTTCAGTTTGTTACGTCTGTTTTTCTAGGAAAAACAACTAGTGATTATTTTCTATTTTCACGTTATTGTAGGAAAATGCAAGTCATATACCCGTTAAGCATTTATCCGTGCCCTCAACTTCGTGGTTATTTGATTAATGATGACAGCGAAATGAAATTTTATAGTTCCTAGAACAATTTCGTTAGTAATTTTATATAGATATAGAGAATGTTGTTTATAGGTTGGTAAGTAAATTATCAACATAACAAACGCACTATAAGAATGCTTTATTTGCTAACTGAGGCAATGTAAGCAAAGTTATATATATATAAATATATATATATATATATATATATATAATATATATATATATATATATATATATATATATATATATATATATTGATATGATGACCAAATTTTACTGTTTTATCTTTTTGCTATAAGAGAAAAGTTAACCAACCTAATTTAAATTTTAAAATTTTAAAAATTAAGCTCCCAGGGTTAAAGACCAGAGAAATTAGCAAATAAAAGCCTTTTTCATGATACTTTTTGATACAGGTAGCTAAAAACTGCTTTTAAGAAATTTGGTGGCATATATAATAAACAAAATACGCAAAAGATTTTTTTATTGCCTTATTGCCAGATTCCAGTAAGAGCCTAAGAAGGTATCCATTGAATTCTGACAGGCAACGGTCGGTGGGGGAAATATTTTTTGGACCTCTACGTCACGGAACAAGACACCCTGGTAGTGCTGGATGAACCGTGTTCCGACTAAAACCTTAACTACAGTTCCAGAGAGGTGGTCTTGCCACAATAAACAATATTAACTATAAATTTTTAGATCACTGGCTTAATTTCCTCCTCTGTCCTCCTGCTCCTTTTTCTTCATCACCACAGAAATCAGACAGTGTACTTCTCCCCATTCTTTCTCTCCTCTCAACGTTATGTTTACAATGTTTCTTTCATCCAGCCCGAAA